TTTCTAAACTTCAGGCTCGTGAGTGGTAAGGAAGACTGATCTGACGCGCCCCGCCCGCCCTTCCGACTGGCGTCGGGCTGCGACAGGGAGGAGTTATACATGAGGAAACGGAATGGAGGAGGAGGAGGAGAAGGAGGAGGAGGAGGAGGAGGAGGAGGAGGAGATCGGTCGGGCCAGTCGGGTCGGGCAGCAGTCCGAAAAAGCTATGGGTGACGCAGTAGCCTGGTTCGTGGTAGCTCTGGACATCACACGGCTCTGGAACATAAGCCTGATTCAGTAGGAGTAGAAGGAGAAGGAAGAGGAGGAGGAAAAGGAAGAGGAGGAGGAGGAGGGGAGGAGGGGGAGGAGGAGGAGGAGGAGGAGGAGGAGGAGAAGGAGGAGGAGGAGGAGGAGGAGGAGGAGGAGCATGAAGCATCGCTCGCAATGCGGCAAAACGCGATGAGGATTGATCCGAGCCATGAACCGAGTCCGGCGACTCTGCCGAAGTCCCTTTCCCGAATGCCGAGTCCTGGAATGGACGCCTCCTCCCAGAGGCCCAAAAAGGGTAGAACGCCATCCTGGAGCCTCGATCGTCGAGCCTCGATCCTCGAGCCTCCTCCTCGAGCCTCGATCCTCGAGCCTCCTCCTCCCCCTCCCCTATCCTCCATGGGGTCGTCCCTGGACTTCTTCCGACTCGTGATCATGAAATTTGGTTGCATCGTGTCTAATGCTTTTTTGGCTGCCGCTGTGTCTGTCGTTCCCGATCCTTCCGTCGTCGCTGCTGACAACTCCAGCGAGCTCGTCGTCGAGCGGGGCACATGCGGCTGCGGGGTCTCTGGCCCTGGTCGTGGACGACCGCTCTTCTTATGCTGGCCCCCTCCCTCTCCCCCTCCTCGTCATCCCTTCCCCTTCCCCTCCTCTCCTTCCCCCCCTTCCCCTCCTCCTCCCCCTCCTTCTCCTCCTCTTCCTCCTCCTCCTCCTTGTCCTCCTCCACCTCCTCCTCCTCCTCCTCCTCCTCCTCCTCCTCCTCCTCCTCCTCCTCCTCCCCCTTCCCCTTCCCCTCCTCTCCTCCCCCTCCTCCTCCCCCTCCTTCGCCGCATGCAGCGTCGCAGCCCGGAGCCCCTTCCATCGAGCCGGGCCCGGCGCCCTCCTCGCGAGCTCCGACGTGCTGCCCGCCGCCGACCCCGCGAGCCGGAGCCGGATGGCAGACACGGAGGCAGGATTCGGCGCAGAGGGGCCGCACTCGGCGAGGACCTGCTCCTCCCATCTGCTCCTCCCGCTCCTGCTGCTCCTGCTGCTCCTGCTGCTCCTCTTGCTGCTCCTCCTCCTCATCCTCCTGCTTACCCTGCTGCTGCTGCTCCTCTTTCTCCCCCTCGTTCTCCGTGGACCACTCCTGCTTACAATGCTGCTGCTGCTCTTCCTCCTCCTTCTCTTCCTCTTCCTCCTCCGCGGACCGCTCCCGCTTACCCAGACTTTTGGTGGTTTTGCCGTGTTTTTGAATACTTAGCTTATCTTCCGTCTTCGGCATCCAGATCGCAGTTTTAGGTTTCCAGGGCCATCCCAGACGCGGATGATGATGGTTGTGTTGTTGTTGTTGTTGTTGTTGTTGTTGTTGTTGTTGTTGTTGTTGTTGTTGTTGTTGTTGTTGTTGTTGTTGTTGTTGTTGTAGAACTCTCACTTCTGAAGAACAATTCTTGTTGATCCCCCCTCACCAGTGCATATATTTTTTTCTCAATCAAAGTGTGCCCCTCGACGCTCGCACCCTGTTCTTTGACAGGGAAAGTCCTGGTGCTCAAACTGTGCCCCTGGCCCCCCGGATTACAACAACAACGGCTCCCGCATGAGATTTCCTCCAAATTTACTCAAGACCCCCGCTCCTGAGACTTCCTCACAATTTACTCAGGATCGGTGCTCCCGCCTGTGACTTCCTCGCAATTTAATCAGGACACCCGCTCCCATCTGAGACTTCCTCACAATTTACTGAGGAACGGCGCTCCCGCTTGAGACTTCCTCGCAATTGAATCAAGACCCCCGCTCCCGCCAGAGAACCCTTCACATTTTATTCAGGAATTGCGCTCTCGCCTGTGACTTCCATGCGATTGATTCAGAAATCGCGCTTTCGACGCTCAGGAAACACGCTGCGCCAAGGACGCCGTTACAATTTACTTAGTAATCGCGCTCTCGCCATATTCAGACATCCCGCTTGAATGTCCCACCCGCCCGACCTGCCCGTCAGGGGATCGCCTTCAGGAACGGCGCTTTCGCATAGGACTTCCTCGAACGTTCACGCTCTTATCTTCCTGCTCCTCCTCCCTCTCCCTCCTCCCTCCTCCCTCCTCTCCTCCCTTCTCTCTCCCTCCTCTCTTCCCTCATCCTTATGCCTCTCTGCCCTATCCCCTCTCCCTCCTCTCCCTCCTCCCTTCTCCCTCCCCTCTCCTGCCTCCCTCCTCCCTCTTTTTTTTTTTTTCTCTCTCTCTCTCTCTCTCTCTCCCCTCTCTCTCTCTCTCTCTCTCTCTTTCTACCTCTCATATTTTTTTGTTTTGTTTCTCTCTCTCTCTCTCTCTCTCTCTGCCTCTAATCAACCGCCCCCCTCTTCGCTCCTCCTCTCCTGGCGTTTTCCCTTTTCCTTCGTCCCTCCCCCTCCCTTTCTCCCACTCTCCCTCGTTCTCCCCCTCCTCTTTTGCAGGGCCCACACCAATTGCAATGGCGGGCACATGTACGCCCACGAAGGATTGTCCGCCCGTTCAGGTTTGCCCGCCTGTCTAAGCCCGCCGCTCCCCGCAACGAGAAAGAATCCCCCCCAATGGGGGGGTAATCGAAGGCGGGTATCGAGGGTGTGGGGAACTCGTTTTGAATGACACGCGGGCAAGTAAGAGCGAACAGTCTAATAATGATTGTTGTTGTTGTGGTTGTTGTTGAAATTGTTGTTGTGGTTGTTGTTGTTATTGGCGTTGTTGTTAGTGTTGCTGATGGGGATGAGGATAAGGATGATGCTGCTGCTGCTGATGCGGCTGCTGATGTTGATAGTGATGAACACGGTGATGATGATGCTGATGCTGATGATGCTGCTGTTGAATGTGATTATGATGATGCTGATGCTGCTGCCGACGACGACGATGACGATGACGATGGTGATGCTGATGATGAGGCTGATCGTCATGATGCAGGTGATGGTGATGAGGGGGATGGTGCCAATGATGATGATGATGATGATGATGATGATGATGATGATGGTAATGACGGTGATGACGATGATCATGCTGATTGAGGGTGAGGATGCTTATGGCGACGATGCTAATGATGGCGATGGTGATAGTGACGAAGATGCTGATTATGTTCATCCTGATTCAGCTGCTGACGATGGCGGGGATGATGCTGATGCTGATGATGCTGATGATGATGGCGACCACGACGAGGGTTCAGACGACGCGACGATGATGACCATGATGCTGATGATGATGCAGATGACGCAGATGATGGTTCATGATGGTGAGGGTGATGTTGAGTATGCTACGGATTACGATGATGATGAGAGTACTGCTTTGATGATGATGATGATGATGATGATGATGATGATGATGGCAGTGCTGCTAATAATGATGATGATGATGATGATGATGATGATGATGATGATGATGATGATGATGATGTTGGTGCTCATGGAGCGAGGATGGTGATTATGATGCTGCTACTGATGATGATGACGATAACGATGATGCTGCTGGTGATGATGATGACGATGCTGCTGCTGATGATGATGCTGATGATGAAAATGATGATGGTGATGTTGATGTTGTTGATGAGGATGACGATGCCGGTGCTGATGATGATGCTGGTGTTGCTGCTGCTGATGCTGCTGCTGATGATGCGGCTGATGACGCTGATGATGCTGATAATGATACGGATGTTGTTAATGATGATACTGATTCCGATTGTTTATGATTATGATTATGATTATGATTATGATCATGTTTTGATTATGATTATTATGATGATAGTGATGATGATGGCGATGATGATGCTGGTGATGGTGATGGTGATGATGATGATGATGTGATGATGATGCTGATGATGGTGATAATGATGATGATGATGATGATGATGATGATGATGATGATGATGATGATGATGTTGATGATGATGATGATGATGATGATGATGATGATGATGATGATGATGATGATGATGGTGATGCTGATGGTGATGGTGGCGGTATTGTGATCGTGATGATGAGTTGGAGGTGGAGGAGGAGGAAGAGGAAGAGGAGGAGGAGGAAGAGGAGGAGGAGGAGGAGGATGTTGAGGAGGCGGAGGGGGAGGAGGAAGAAACAGAGGAAGAAGAAGAGGGTGATCATGATGATGTGGGGGAGAAGGAAGTGGAGGAAGTAGGGAAGACGAGTGGGCAGAGCACGCATATGCATTGGAGGGGGACAAGTTGGGAAGGGATGGTATGGGACAGGAGGGGCGGGGAAGCTTTGTACGCTTGTGCCCTATTTGCCATCCGATCCTCCAATTCATCTTTTTCCATTGCGTTGAACAATTTTTTCCGCCGTCTGGAACTCTGAGTGGGCCCTTCGACCCGCCCGCACCGCTCCAGCCCCGGCCGCATACCCTTCGCTCAGAAAACTGCGCAACAAGTGTCAAAATGTCCCCGCATGACCGAACCGGCAGTCAGCCTCTGGCCTCGTCTGCTGCAGCTTGCCCGGTGTGCTCACCTGGCGGTTCCGGTCTTCTGTGTATATTGCCTCGTGTGCGCGAGCGCTTGGCGGCCACGAGTGGTGCCATTCGCGCAGGCCTGGGGCTGGGTGCCCTTGCTGGCCCTTGCTCTCCAACAGTTCGTCGTGGCGCAGCGGCGCCGACGCGCCCTCGACCGTGCGGCGGCTATCGCCACGAGCCACGCGGCCTCAAAGACCAGCGGAAGAAGGGCTGGGGGTGCCGTTCGAAGGGCGGGGAGGCGTGCCAGGGGGAAGGGGCAGAGGCAACCTTGGAGCGAGCAGTGCTTCTTACGTAGCTTCTCCACAGGAGCCCCCAGACGGTTACGTCCAACGACAGCGTGCAAGATCTACGCACGGCCAGCATGAAGAGGGGGTGCAAGGAGGAGAGGCACTTGACCTGGAGGGGCAAGGGCCGGCGCATCTTGTTGTCTATGGAGTTCCAGGCTTTCATGACCATCGTCATTCTCGTAGACGTTGGTGCCTTCGTGGTCGAGGAAATCAGACTGAGGGAAGGTCACCAAAGCCTCGATGGGATTCTCTTCATCAATATTATCACCCTGAGCTTGTACTCCATGGAAATTGTTGCCAAGCTGGCATGCTTCGGTCTGCGCGGATTTTGCCGGGACGTGTGGAACATCTTCGACCTGATCATCGTGGTCCTCTCCGCAATGCTCTTCTCGGGGCCTGGAGGCTCGGGCCGGACGCAAGGGGAGAGTTCTGGCAGGGTGGGGGGTGGGGGTACGAAAATTGCTGCGCACAGCTGGCTCGGGCCCTGCCGCCGATCACGTTCCTGGATGCATGGCCGCCCCTGGCGCTGGGAGGCCATGTGCAAACCAGCTGCATGCAGTTGATCCCCCCCCCTTCACTGGCTCCCTCTGTCGCCCACCCTGCTGTTTATCCGCCGCCTCCTCCGCCAATGTGCGCAGCTCCCTCTTTTTCTGATGCTGCATAACATGATTGGGGGGCCCCTCTTGGAACTCCAGGTCAGCGCAGTGGGAAGGGATGGGCAGGGGTGGGTGGGAGGGGTAGGATGTCAGATATGGCGCGAGCGCGCATGGCTTGACTGGCCCCCCTCTGCCGTCCGCCCCGAGAGGCGCCGTGGTCGCCGCAAGGCTGACCAAAGTCGCCTTCCGGTTTGCCAAGGGCCTCGCGAAGACGTTGCGGGTTTTCCTGCGCCTCAAGCCAATGAGCCAGGCGGCCAAGTCCAAGGTGTCGAAAAATAAGATGCGGTACGTCGACATGGAGAACAACTTCGACCTGGACCTCACCTATCTCGTGGCCTTCGGCCAGTTCGCCCGGGGGTCGTGGACCAGGGCACTCTCAGGTGCGCCTCGGAGTGCTTCGGAAGGCCTCTCGGGGTCCTCGCCTCGGACTCTCGAGTGTCTGGGCCTTGAACAAGGGTTTTTGTGGAGCATGCGATATGGAGAACTCGAAGGGATCTGATGACACTCCACATTTGTGCCTCGCGGCACGGTGGCGGATATAGACCGCGATCTGATCGCCATGGGAGTGCCAGCCGTTGGATTTCGGAACACGTTTGTGCGGAACTCCCTGCACGAGGTGGCCCGCTTCTTCAAGATCAATCACCGTGGGCACTTCAGGGTCTACAACGCTTGCCCCGAGATGCCCTACCCTGAGGAGCCTTTCAAGAAGGTAGGAGGCAGCATGACGTGCTTCCAGATCCAGGACCACAGCCCGCCCCGTATGGAGCAGTTCCTCGCCTTTCTTGCCGACGCGCGCGAGTTCCGTGGCGAGTCCCAGGACACTTCTGCTGGCTATGCAAATGTTTCGGGTGGTGTTTGGAGTTTGCTTTGGGGAGCGTCTTGAGTATCGTTTCGGTTGGAGTCCCGCAGTAGGTACCATGATGCCACTCTGCAATCGCTGTCGCTTATATGGGGGAGAGAGAGAGGGAGACAGAGAGAGGGGGATATAGAGACATACGCACATACAGTATTCTGTTCTATTCTATTGTATGATGTTATATTGATATGCTAGGCCAGGTTATATTAACTTGTGCTCTATCGTATGATATATTGATGCATTTTTTTGTTTTTAAAAAAAAATATATATATATATATAATATTTAGACCATGTTGCAACTCACTAAAAATATAGGACACTGTATGTTTTACCATCGTGTACGATCTTAGTGTATTCAATATCATGCTATACTATGGTGAATTCTGTTGACTACCGATATCTCATACTGCGCTATATTATACAGTCGCTTTGTGTGTATCAGACGGCAGCGTATTGCATCATATCGTAATACATTGTAATCACCCGTCTCGCAGTATACGATCTGACATTTTAACAATCTGCATTGTAGCATAGTGTATTCTACTGCTCTGCATCATATTGCGTTGTACCGTCGTAGGGCATGTTCTAGTCCACTGTATTGCGCTATCGGATATTAGGTTCCAGTAATGGTTTACAATGTCCTATGTTTAAACCTGCCACGCTTTGTTTAGTATTTCATATCAGTATCTATGCCGACATCTTATATTGTTCCTTTACTCATACTATAGTTTACCCTATGGTATTGTATTCTGCAATATTCTGTCAGATCAGATGACCGTGTACGGTATGATGATGCGTCATATCGTTTTCAGTGAAATGGCAAATATGGGTATACAGATACAGCGATATATATATATATATATTTATATGTGTCCACAACGTATAACTATAGAACGAGAGAGGGGGGCAGAGAGAGAGAGAGAGAGAGAGAGAGAGAGAGAGTGAGAGAGAGAGAGGGAGAGAAAGGGAGAGAGAGAGAGGGATATATAGAGAGAGATGGAACGAGAGAGAGAGAGAGAGAGATAGAAAACGAGGGGGAGAGAGAGAGAGAGAGAGAGAGAGAGAGATACACAGAGAGAGAGAGGAGAGAGAGCGATATATATATATATATATGTATATACACATCTATATATGTAGAGAGAGAGAGAGAGAGAGAGAGAGAGAGAGAGAGAGAGAGAGAGAGACAGAGACAGAGGGAGAGAAAGAGAGAGAGAGAGAGAGAGAGAGCGAGAAAGAGAGAGAGAGAGAGAGGGAGCGAGAGGGAGAGAGAGAGAGAGAGAGAGAGAAAAAGAGTGAGGGAGAGAGAACGAGAGAGACAGAGCGCGAGAGAGAGAGAGAGAGAGAGGAAGAACGATATATAGAGAGAGAGAGAGACAGAGGGAGAGAAAGAGCCATACACACAATGTAGACATATATACACATAAACATATATATATATATATATATATATATATATGTATGTATACACGCATCTATAAACAAAGAGGGGGGTAGGGAGAGAGAGAGAGAGAGAGAGAGAGAGCGAGACAAAGAACGATAGAGAGAGAGAGAGAGAGAGAGATAGAGAGACTAGAGAGAGAGAGAGAGAGAAAAGCAAGGACGAGAGAGAGAGAGGGAGACTGATGTATATCGTTATACACATAGACAGAGGGAGAGATAGAGAGAGAGAGAGAGAGAGAGAGAGAAAGAGAGAGAGAGAGAGATAGCGAGAGGGACAGAGGAAGAGAGAGGGAGAGAGCATCGTTTTGGTTGGAGTCGCGCAGTAGGCCCCATGGTGTCACCCTGCAAGAACTGATTCTTATATGGGGCAGAGAGAGAGAGAGAGCGAGAGAGAGAGGTAGATAATACATATATATATATATGTGTATGCATACATTTTTACGTTTATATGCATGAATACATATCTAACTATGTTTACATACGCGTACTGCACATACTAATGTATGTGTACATAGACGTAGCGCTACGCACAAATAAATCATATGTTTATAGAGAGGGTGAGAGTTATAGAGAGGAAGAGAGAGAGGTAGAGAGAATTTGAAAGATAGCGAAAGAGAGGGAGAGAGATAACGACATACGGAAAGAGGGAGAGAGAGATGATGAGCGAAAGAGAGAGAGAGAGAGAGAGATAGAGAGAGAGAGAGAGAGCGAGAGAGATAGCGATACATGTGTATGCACCTGTATGTATGCGTGTGCATGTATGTATGTCTGTATGCCTGTCTGTCTGTCTGTCCGTCTGTCTGTCGGTCTGTATGTATGCCTGTGCATATTTGCACATGAATCTCTCTCTGTATATGTAGACATATATATATATATACACACACATTCATTCACACATACATACATGCATACATACATATCCCCGTGCACGAGGCCCAGGCGTCCGGGGCCCGGGGCCCGGGGGGGCATGGGAGGACCGGGGTTTCCCAGACCGCTCCCAGAGCACCCTGGAGCGGCCCTGGAGCTCCCAGACTGCCCCAGAGAGCTCCCAGAAGCCCTCGGGGACTTCGACAAGCCCCGTCAAGACAGCCCAGATAGCCCCAACGTGGCCCAATATGGGTTCGAGACCGCAGATACACAGCCCAAGAGGCCTCCAAGAGGTATCAAGAGAGCCCCGAGAAGCATCCCGAGAGAGCCCGAAGAGGCCCAAATCATTGATTTTCATTGTTTTTTGCAATGCTTTTCGGTGTCTCGCGTTTTCGACCTTCGACGCTCCAAGACGGCAGACGACGCCCCCAAGACCGCCCCAAGACCGCCGAAGAGGCCCCCCAAAGAGCCCCAGATGGCCCAAGAGAACCCCAGGACAGGCCCAAGCTGGGCCCCAGAGCGGGAGCGGGAGGCCCCAAGGTGCTCCAAGACGGTCCAGATGGCCCCAACGTGGCCTCAGATGGGCTCAACACGGTAAATATTCAGATTAAGAGGCCTTCCAAAGGCCTCAAGACAGCTCCGAGAAGCATTCCGAGAGAGCCCGAAGAGGTCCTAAGCATTGATTTTTCATTTGTTCCCCACATCCAAAGTGGGGTTCTTGTTTTCTCTGGACACCCCGCGCAGGAACCAGAACCAGAACACACCTACATCATCACCCACGCATCACTCATCATCATCATCATCATCATCATCATCATCATCATCATCATCATCATCATCATCATCATCATCATCATCATCATCATCATCATCATCATCATCATCATCATCATCATCATCATCATTCTCATCATTATTATCATCATCAACGTTATCGTCATGCGATCGCCCACCAACATCATCACCATCAGCATCATCATCATCATCATCATCATCACTCATCATCATCAGCATAATCCCCTTCGTCACCCACTCACTCACTCATCACTTCGTCATCACTCACTCGTCTGTGAGTGAATTGCAAAGAAATCTCAGGCGGTAGCCTCGTCTGTGAGTGAATTATGAGGAAGTCTCAGGCGGGAGCCCCCTCCCTATGGGGCCCGCAGATCATGTTACTAATCCGAGCGGGTCATCCGCAACGTTTAACTGTCGTCAGTTTTGGGCTCCTCGGGCTTGAATATGGAGGTATCGAGCGGGGGCCTCGTCTGTGAGTGAATTGCGAGGAAGTCTGAGGCGGGAGCTCCTCCTTATGGGGCCCGCAGATCATGTTACTAATTCGAGCAGGTCATCCGCAACGTGTAACTGTCGTCATTTTTGGGCTCCTCTGGCTTGAATATGGAGGAAGTATCGAGCGGGAGCCTCGTCTGTGAGTGAATTGCGAGGAAGTCTCAGGCGGGAGCCCCTCCTTATGGGACCCGCAGATCATGTTACTAATCCGAGCGTGTCATCCGCAACGTGTAATTGTCGTCACTTTTGGGCGTTTCAGGCTTGACTATGAAGGAAGTATCGAGCGGGAGCCTCGTCTGTGACTAAATTGCGAGGACATCTCAGGCGGGAGCCCCGTCCTTATGGGACCCGCAGATCATTGTATTAATCCGAGCGGGTCATCCGCAACGTGTAACTGTCGTCACTTTTGGGCTCTTCAGGCTTGAATATGATGGAAGTATCGAGCGGGAGCCTCGTCTGTGAGTGAATGGCGAGGAAGTCTCAGGCGGGAACCCCTCCTTATGGGGCCCGCAGATCATGTTCGAATCCGAGGCGGGTCATCGGATTCTACTAACTGTCGTCACTTGGAGGTCTGAGGACCGATTTTAGAACCGATTTTGAGGATCGAAGGGGATCTCGCACGGAGGTGCCTCATCCCACTCGCGGCACGATCGGGAATGATGACGCATCATGATGGTGGGTCCCGCAGCTACACGAGTCCTCGGGTTTTCGTACCTGCCGTCGCTGTTGTGCTCAGAGGGAGGAGGAGGAGGAGGAGGAGGAGGAGGAGGAGGAGGAGGAGGAGGAGGAGGAGGAGGAGGAGGAGGAGGAGGAGGAGGAGGGAGGAGGCGGAGGAGGAGGAGGAGGAGGAGGACGAGGAACAGGAATTGAGGAGGACGACGGCGGGACCATACGCTCTTCGTCGCCAAGTTCGCCAAGGCCTGCGACGACGCCTGGGAGGACGACGTGTAGAAAAAAACCCCTGGAGTGAGAGAAAAGTGACGCACTTGCTCCTGTTGGGCCAGGGCGGCTCGGGGAAAACGCACGTGGTGCAGAAGATCGTCTTCCCAGTGGTGGAGTATTTGTGGCCCTCGTCGGCGCATGACAAGGGCGCCATGATGGTCGTGGCCTTCTCGAACGCGCAGGCGAAAAACATCTCCACGGAGACTGTGAAGGCTAGGACGCTACACAAAGCCTGTGCCCTGCGAGTCCAGAAGTACATCAACGCGAAGATGAGGCCGGGGGGCATGCAGAAGAGGCTGAAGTGGTTGTGGGAGCACGTCCGCGTACTTGTCATCGAGGAGGTGAGCATGGTGGCGGCTGCTCTGTACAACGCGCTGGACCTTCGCGCTTGCCACGGACGCAGTGACACGCATGACGTGCATGAG